CGGGGCAGAATCATCCATTTATATGCCGCGTAAAATAAGATGTAAAGGATGCACAGTGCGCAGCAACTTCTAACCCTAGCCCAGCCCGTAGCGTCGCTAAAGTATCAGGCTAAATATGTTGGCGGCCGAAGAAAGGGGAGAGACGGCACAGCAGAGCTGCTGGTGCAACTTGCCAGGGAGGGCGCGCGTCTGAAGTACTGGCTTTTTTTTCTGATTGCACGAAATTTGTGTTAAAATTTTAGATTTAGATTTATACCTCGAAAATCGAAATTTTTGACTTTCAAGTGTCTTTAAAAATCGGAAACAATAAAAAAATTAAAACTCTACAGCGTAACTTGTTGAAATTTGTTCTTTTAATAATGACATTTGATTTTTTCAATTCAGATTATTCTATGATTAGTTACGGGAAGGACCACCGCAAGCAACCTTTTTTTTGAGATGCCGCCGGAGATTTCCTATATCTCACTCAATTTTCAATATTTATGGATGATAATTTTTACACATATTTTTGTTATCACACGGGAAAACAAAAATGTTACTGAAACTATTCGTATTGCCAATAAAAAACTGACCGATTTTACTGCGACTAAACCACACCCCCAAATTTATTTTTCCGAACTTTACTGATATCGTCACTGAATTCATGAAATTGGATAACTTCAATAATTTTCTCAAAAGAAAAATTCAGTTCTCTTAGCGAAATACTATTTTTAAAGGTCTGTGACACATTTCGGCACCTTTGAATAAAGCGCAAAACCCAAACGAAAACTCAGGTGCGCCAAAATGTTTGAAATTTTCGGAAGCAAATGATTTGGCTCTGGGCTGACTGTCCACACGAAAACATTCTCAATGGAACAATTAAACAATTGCCTGACACGATTATTCCGTTCTGCTAAAAGGTGAGCTGAGCACAGCTCAAGGCGAGGCAAAGTTTTCGTCTTGAGGGGAGCTACTTTTGATTTGGCGGTCAATAAAGACACTGTTCAACCTTCAGCTCCAGGCGCTCGGATGGAAGCGTCAGCGAAACCATGTATTTGAATCGGGACTTGCGAATCTGTGTGGACGATACCTTCGCGATACCTTAATTTTGGCAGCGTTGCTTTAATAGTCTCCCACAATGTAACCAACTACATCGGTAGCGACTCGTCCCCATCAAGCTTTCTATGCCATAGTTTCTGCAACAATATCTTTGCCTTTCGCTAGTGAATAAATCGTCAACATAAAAATCATTCTAAATAACCTGTGCGGCTTTTGGATAAGTTGCTTGCGACATCTCTCCTAATCGCCAGAAACAGCACCCTTTCTGGCGCAGTTTCATGTATTACGGTATTTAACTTAAAGATTTTCAGAGACTCTGAAGGATATCGTCTCCATGCCATGAGCTGAAAATTTCGGTCATATTCGTCCACCATTACTTGGCGATACATTTCTTTTATGTCTGCCGCAAGGAAAAACTTATGCAATCTAAACCGAAGCAGTGTCGACTACAGCTCCTTTTGAATGGTTGGGCCTACCATCAAGATGTCATTCAACGATACCTGCGTCGATCTACGACACGATGCATCGAAAACTACTCTCAGGTGCTTTGATCCCATGCCGTGCGCTGCTAGACTCGGGATCTCAAGTCCACATTGTGACTTCCCGACTCGCTTATAAGTTGCAATTGCAAAAAACGAAGTCTACCGTATCAGTTGCTGGTCTTGGAAATGCTCGATTTGACTCTGAAGGAGTTTCCGTTTGCATTAAGTTAAAGTCGCATACCTCTTCACATGCCTATCTGCTCATGTTGATCCAGCGATTACCGACAATCAACCCACGAAAAATCAGCGCCCACGAAATTTGTTCTCCGGAATCCCGCGACGACTCACAAACCTTTGAAAAAAGCATCTGTGGTTAAGTCAGAGACTAACTCTAGGTGTACCGCTTTGGTCTTAGAAGGCTATAATTTTAAAGTGGTTAAACAGCATCGAAAGCCCTTTTGGACGGGTAGCACGATGGCCCTGGACTTGCAGCTGTACGACTTCGAGATCGCGTATTGGAAGGGACAAATAAATTCCAATCACAACAACCTTTGCCAGAAACCCTTAAGGGCATGAAATATACATGGGCAGAATCTTTCGATGGCTGCACTTGGGTCAGAACGACGTGCGACAAGATACGAGCGCAACCACAAAAATATCCGGACTACGTGATGGAAGGCCAATCACCATATAGGCACATCCCTCACTGAGCTGGCAGTGAAGATATCGTGCTATTTAAATTGTGCGTGCTACAAGGATTAAGGAAAACATTGCTACAAGAAAATCATGACTCCTCATCAGCTGGGCATGTCGGAAGTAAAGTAAAGTTCGGGGTTCCGAAGGTAGTGAAAACAGACACGAAGTTTACCAGCCGGCTCTTGAAAAGGTTTCTAAGCGAAACCCAACAGAAAGAGCGAACAGAACGGTAAAGACAATGATAGCTCAGTTTTCAGGGAAGGACCAAAGGAATTGGGACCAGAATTGGCCAGAGATTATGCTAGCAGTGAACTCGAGCATATCTGAGTCAACTGGATACTCACCAGCATTTCTCAATCAAGGCCGGGAGCTCCGGTTGCCAAACGCCTTATATGACAGGGAAACAGTAGGCTCGGGGAGGAACACAGGACTCTAGACTAGAAGACTGCTATGTTGAAGGAGATTTTTGGAGTTGTTCGGTGGAATATGGAAAAGGCCGCCCAGGATCAGGATAGGTATCTACGAATAAGGTAGTGGAAGCCAGTAATACGCGACCTAATATAGGCAAATGAACTGCATTTTTCCAAAGCCGAAGGGATTGAAGCAACAACAAGCGGTCAACCCGGAGGATGATAAAGTATAGCTCTAGCATACGCCAGATTCAAAATAGTGGCAGACCAAAGGACCCCGATGACGGGGCAGAATCATCCATCTATATGCCGCGTAAAATAAGATGTAAAGGATGCACAGTGCGCAGCAACTTCTGACCCTAGCCCAGCCCGTAGCGTCGCTAAAGTATCAGGCTAAATATGTTGGCGGCCGAAGAAAGGGGAGAGACGGCACAGCAGAGCTGCTGGTGCAACTTGCCAGGAAGGGCGCGCGTCTGAAGTACTGGCTTTTTTTTCTGATTGCACGAAATTTGTGTTAAAATTTTAGATTTAGATTTATACCTCGAAAATCGAGATTTTTGACTTTCAAGTGTCTTTAAAAATCGGAAACAATAAAAAAATTAAAACTCTACAGCGTAACTTGTTGAAATTTGTTCTTTTAATAATGACATTTGATTTTTTCAATTCAGATTATTCTGTGATTAGTTACGGGAAGGACCACCGCAAGCAACCTTTTTTTTGAGATGCCGCCGGAGATTTCCTATATCTCACTCAATTTTCAATATTTTTGGATGATAATTTTTACACATATTTTTGTTATCACACGGGAAAACAAAAATGTTACTGAAACTATTAATACGAATAGATACCAATAAGAGAGCTAGTGCCGGTTTGCGTAATTCCTTCGACACTACTTTGGTCGACAGTTCGAAATGTCGATTTACAGGCTAATTAATTTGGATTTTGATCCAGTGTAAAGTGATCTCGGAGTCTGTCCATACGAAAACATTCTCAATGGGACAATTAAACAATTGCCTGACACGATTATTCCGTTCTGCTAAAAGGTGAGCTGCGCACAGCTCAAGGCGAGGCAAAGTTTTTGTCTTGAGGGGAGCTACTTTTGATTTGGCGGTCAATAAGGACACTGTTCAACCTTCAGCTCCAGGCGCTCGGATGGAAGCGTCAGCGACACCATGTATTTGAATCGGGACTTGCGAATCTGTGTGGACGATACTTTCGACCTTAATTTTGGCAGCGTTGCTTTAATAGTCTCCCACAATGTAACCAACTACATCGGTAGCGACTCGTCCCAATCAAGCTTTCTATGCCATAGTTTCTGCAACAATATCTTTGCCTTTCGCTAGTGAATAAATCGTCAACATAAAAATCATTCTAAATAACCTGTGCGGCTTTTGGATAAGTTGCTTGCGACTTCTCTCCTAGCCGCATTAAATACCTAATCGCCAGAAACAGCACCCTTTCTGGCGCAGTTTCGTGTATTACGGTATTTAACTTAAAGATTTTCAGAGACTCTGAAGGATATTGTCTCCATGCTATGAGCTGAAAATTTGGGTCATATTCGTCCACCATTACTTGGCGATACATTTCTTTTATGTCTGCCGCAAGGAAAAACTTATGCAATCTAAACCGAAGCAGTGTCGACTACAGCTCCTTTTGAATGGTTGGGCCTACCATCAAGATGTCATTCAACGATACCTGCGTCGATCTACGACACGATGCATCGAAAACTACTCTCAGGTGCTTGGATCCCATGCCGTGCGCTGCTAGACTCGGGATCTCAGGTCCACATTGTGACTTCCCGACTCGCTTATAAGTTGCAATTGCAAAAAACTACCGTATCAGTTGCTGGTCTTGGAAATGCTCGATTTGACTCTGAAGGAGTTTCCGTTTGCATTAAGTTAAAGTCGCATACCTCTGATTACTTCACATGCCTATCTGCTCTTGTTGATCCTGCGATTACCGACAATCAACCCAGTTTGACCGTTAAGCCCGATGGTTGGAAAAATCCCTCGAATATTCAGTTGGCCGATTCTGAATTCTTTAGATCTCAGCGAGTAGATCTTTTTATTGGCGCAAGCATGTTGTTCCCGAATAAGACAAGGAGTGGACTGCAAATAATCTTTTATTTGGTAGCAAAATCCTCCAAAGTTTTGCTGCTGCCGGTCTTTTCCAATTGCTATTTCAGTGTCTTAGTGCGGGCCTGTTAGTGGCGATACGTGATAAACTTAACGATATTTACATTGTCACTATCGATACATCGATGCGATTTCTTAGCGGGAGTTAACGAAGAATAATTAAACATAATACTTAATCAACTAATAAGAATAGAAATGGCATTAATTCTGAACCATACCGGCCCCCCTGAACGACGCGTTCAGTTAAGAGGGAGAATGGCGATCTTAGTGATAGGGCGCTTGTAGACTCCATTGGCCGTCTTGACAGTCACTACTCGGACCTTAGAATCCTGTCCTGGGTGTACTTCTTGTATGCGTCCAAGTATCCATTTCGAGGGCGGAAGATTAGGCTCCTTGAGAACAACAAGGTTGCCTATTTCGATGTTCGCCGTCTCTTTGTTCCACTTGCCACGTGCCTGTAGAGAACTGAGGTATTCAGTGTGCCATCGCTTCCAGAATCCTTGAACCATGGCCTGAAGCTGATTCCATCGCTGCAGTCTATTCATCTGAGAGTCCAAAAACGAGGGTTCAGGCACCGCAGTGTACGGCTGTCCTACCAAAAAATGGGCTAGAGTTAATGGATCGAGGCTGTGATCGCTGATCGGAGTAAGTGGCCGTGAGTTCAGGATAGCTTCGATTTGGGCAAGAACGGTTGACAGTTCTTCAAAAGTGAGTGCGGCTCCTCCTACGACTCGGCGCAGATGCAGCTTGATTGACCGGACGCCCGACTCCCACAATCCGCCAAAGTGTGGTGCGGACGGGGGTATGAAGTGCCAGTTTATGCCTTCGGATGACAGAAAACCGGCCAATTTTTCATCCTTAGCTCGCTCTTGAGCAAGTTTGCGCATTTCGTCCAATTCCCGTCGGGCTCCATGGAAAGTGGTTCCATTGTCGGAATACAAATCGGATGGTGTTTTGCGACGGGCACAAAAACGTTTGAACGCAGCAATAAATGCCTGCGTTGTGAGATCGCTTACGACTTCTATGTGCATAGCTTTTGAGGCCAGGCACACAAATATGGCAAACCAGGCTTTGCCTATGCGGGGAGTACGACCTTTGGTTTCCTTGATTGAGATGGGTCCGCGTAGTCCAGACCAGTGTGCCGGAAACAAGGATTTTGTTGTACGCGTGGAAGGGGTAAATCCGCCAGGATTTGCTGACTTGTGACACGCCGAGTCATAAAGCAGGACTTACAGCGAAAGACTTCCTTGCGTATTATGTTCCGGGCTCCCATTATCCAGTATTGCTGGCGAACTTGATGAAAAGTGGCGTCTACTCCAGGATGCAAATTAGCCTTGTGAACATAGCGCACAATCAGCAAGGCCAGCGGTGATTCCTTGGCGACGATGATCGGATGTTTTGCGTTGAATGATAACTCCGATCGGTCAATACGTCCTCCGATGCGCAGTAGTCTGGAAGCATCCAAGAACGGCGTTTGTTTCCGCAATTTTGATTTTCTGGGCAGTCTTTGATCTTTTCCGACTGCGTCGTATTCTTTTGGAAAAGCCGTAAGTTGCATGTGCTTCAATAGCTTCTCTCGGGCGTATTGCAAGTCTTTAGCTGTTAGGTATCCGCTGTGAGGTTCAATCTGGAATGGTAAGCTATTAGTATGATTGGCTATCCCTTTGGGGCGTATGCGTTGGATAAATCGAAAAACATAGCTGACAACGCGCAGTAGTTGATTCCAAGAAGAAAGTTTATGGATTAAACTGTCGATAATATCCGGATGTGAATCCGCTTTTAGAGTAAGGTTTAGTTCCTTGGATCTTTCTTCGCAAAGTACAGCTGGGTGCAGCTGCATGTTTTGTTTTTTGGTGGCGGTCGGCCAACGTGACTCCGACTCCACTATCCAGCTTGGACCCTTTCACCATTTCTGTTATACACGGTCGTGTTCTCGTCGAGGTGGAGCGCACAGCCAGTGGAGAACGATTTCAGAATCCGTCCAACAAAAGGTAGCGGTAATTGGAATCGACAAAGACGACTTTATAAGAGTTAGCAATTTACTTAGTAAATGAGCAGCGGTGAGTTCCAATCTCGGTATAGAAATTGTTTTTATTGGAGCTACCCGAGTCTTGCCAGCGATTAGTGTGATCCAGGTTCCGGCGTCCGTTGTTACCCGACTGTATACAACGGCTCCGACTGCTTGTGAAGAGGCGTCCGCGAATCCGTGCAGCTCAATTGATTCCGAAGGTCTGGCAATGTATCGAGGGATTCGACACTGAGACAATGTTGGCAGCTCGCTCGCTAAGATTCTCCACCTCCTCGTAATGTGATCATTCAAAGGCTCATCCCAGCTTAGAGAGCAAAGCCAACACTCCTGAAATAATATTTTCAGCAAAACCGTAGATGGGGATACAATACCCAAAGGATCGTAAATCTTCGAAAGTTCTGATAGTACTGTCCGCTTGGTAGGCATGGGGTTTGAACTTATCGATCGAGGCGGTGTGCAAAATAGGTCCGTCTCTGGATTCCAAAGCAGCCCCAATATTTTGACATTTTTTGACGGCTTTGTGGATGGCTGGTAAGCGCAGTCCTCCGTGGGAATAGAATCCATTAGAGTTTTACAATTGGAACTCCATTTTCGTAGATTAAACTTAGCCTCCGCTAGCAGCTTCACATGTTCTTCCTTGAGTTCGATGAGGCCTTCCTCTGTGTCTGCTCCTGTTGATATGTCGTCGACATATGCATCCGTTAATAAAGATGAAGCTGCTCGTGGATATTGATGCAGATGGTCCTCCGCTAATTGTTTAAGGACCCTTACTGCCAAAAAGGGAGAGGGTGATAACCCGTAGGTGACGGTTAACAACCGATAGTGTTGAATTCTTTCCTTTTCGTCATTTCGCCAAACAATTCGCTGAAAATCGGTATGCGCTTGGGCTACCTTTATGCCCCGAAACATTTTCTCGATATCCGTGCAAACAACGTATCGGTATTGTCGGAATCTCAGGCAGACTCCGATTAAATCTCGCTGTATAGGCGGACCGATGTGCAAGCGATCGTTGAGAGACCATCCGGTGTTATCTTTTCCGGATCCGTCAAATACAACACGACATTTGGTTGTTGTACTTTCAGCTTTGATGACTGCATGGTGGGCTAGGTAACAACATTGATCTTTTGGCAAGATTAGTTGATGTTCCTGGAGTGCTTCCATATGCCCGCGCTGTAGGTAATCTTCCATAAAGGCACAATATTGCCCTTTTAATTCCGGATTCCGTCGGAATTTTGTTTCCAAAGATGCGAATCGATTTAACGACTGCTGTAGAGAAGGGTCGCTCAGAGCCGGCACTTCCTTCTTGAACGGGTATTCCACAATATATACGCCGTCCACATCCCGTTTGTAAGTGTTGACAAACTGTTGTTCCACGGGATCACAAGCGTCAATAGTTGCTTGACTAGGCTGGATTGTATCCATCTCCATGAATCTTCTCACCATCTCATCCAAATCGATTTGAGCATGATGAGCTTGCGCTGGCTTTGGGGATTCATCACACAAGGGTCCCGAACCTACAATTACCCAACCAAAAATTGTGTTAAGTGCGAATGTATTAGGTTTACTTATCAATTTTCGTTGGCCTGTGAAGAAACTCCAAAGTTGATCCGATCCGATTATGACATCGATATCTCCTGGGGTGGCGAAGGTGGGATCGGCCAAAGCTAGTCCTTGTAGAGCTTCCCAATTACTGATGTGTAATTCTCCTGCTGGCACTGACGTGGTTAAGGAACTCATAATCAGCACCTTTATCTGCTGGACATCCGTCGAGACTCGGGATTGCAATTGTATTTTTGCACACCCTCGAGTTACGCCAGCGGCTTGTGTAGAAAGCCCAATCACCGAAATACGTGCGTGGATATAAATGCCTCTGTGGCCAAAGTAATAGTGGATCCCGAATCCAGCAGCATTCGGCAAAACGTCTGGCGTCCACAATTGTCCACCACCTGAGCTAGTATGGTAGGCATCAGGGTCTGCGAACGAGCAACAAATGCAGTCTCGACCGAAAAATTCGAAATCCCAGTTGTCAATGCTTCGGTTGCTGTAGAGCTGCTCTCCGGTGTAGTAGTTGGGTGGGGCTCACGTTCCCCTTGCGAGTCTTGATGTACCAAAGTGTGGTGTGATTCTTTGCAGAGTCGACATCTGAATTTCGAAGTGCACTGCCTGGCAACATGTTTGGGGCTTAGACAGTTAAAGCACAATTTGTTTTGCTTTACAACTGATCGGCGATCGAGTATGCCCAACGATAAAAATTGAGTGCACGTCATAATTGAATGCGGCTGTGTGCAAAGAACACAAGCCCTTCCTGACGAGTTCGAGGCATCGCTGGCGACGTGTACGCTGGCGATGCGTTTCCCATATGTTTTGGGAGTAGTCTGACACGATTCCAGAGCGTCGCATCTGGCGAACAAGAAATCCAAAAATGTCTCTATCTTCACTTCGCTAGAGCATCCCTCTGGGCGTTCGGCCCAAGATTGTCGGGTTTCCATATCCAATTTATGGAGCAAGATGTGTATTAGCCATGGGTCTCGCTGATCACAGCCCAGCGCGTGTAATCCGCGAATGGATTCGTCTGCTCCGTCTGCTAGCTTGCGTAGTGCGGTCACTCCAGACGTTGCGACATTGGGCAAGGCCAAAAAACCAGCAATAAATGATCGCGTTATTAGTGGCTTTTTGTCGTATCGATTTACCAGCTTATCCCTCAACATAATTACTTCGGTGAGGCAATATCCTAAACTAAATTGAGGGCTTCACCATCCGAATACGATTTTAAGTAGTGGAACTTCTGGCAGGTAGTGAGGTTTTCGCGCCGGTCTACGGACCCCATGAACATGTCACAAAATTGGCAATCTTCGTAATTGCCTCGAAAGGTAGGAATTCGGATCTTCTCAAACCTTAAGTCCGTGTGGGTGTGTCACTCTCGAACCTGCTCTAAAAACTGTGTTTGCGAAGGCACAGGCTGTGCTTGCGTGGCAGCCAAGCGCTCAAGTGGATCCTCTGCGTTAGCGATTGGGGTGGACGAATGAGGTGCTGCTCGTTTCCCCTCTGCTATAGCGTTGAATAGAAGGGCGTGCACTTCATAATACTTGTTTTCGTATTCCTGCATATCGTCCCTTCATAACCAATCCCCTGCCTCCGAGAGGGAGTATAGTTCCGCAGACAGCTTCATGAACTGGTCGAATGTTTCCATAATACGGCGGAGATGATGTTCCAAAGTGTCCAGGGATGTTACGGCTGATACAAATTCCGAAGCAGAATCCACGCTGTTGGTTCACTGATTGTAGAGAAATGGCAGCACAATGAGGTTATGTCTGATTTTCACCAAGTTGTGAATTAGGAGCACGAGAATTTTACAAAAAATTGTTTTTGTAAACACCGAAACCGAGAAGATCCGGCTCGAGGGACCAAAATGTTTCAGAATAAGACAGTGAGTGGACTGTAAATTAATATTTTATTTGGTAGTAAAATCCTCCAAAGTTTGGTGCTGCCAATATTTTCCAATTGCTATTTCATTGTCTTTGTGCCAAAATGTGCAGCGTGAATTGGTTGCTGCTGAAGTTCATATGGATGCACTAGTCCGTCGCTATTGGGAAGTCGAGAGCTGTGGTAAATGCGTGGTCACAGCCACCAAAGAAGAACTGGAGTACGAAGCTCGTTTCAAGACCAACTTTCGTCGTCTAGACTCTGGTGAATATTCTGTACGATTACCTACAAAGAACACTCTAGAATTACTGGGTGAATTGTACAATCAAGCTTATGTCGGTTTCTCAATTTGGAGAAGAAGCTAGAGCGCAAGCCAGAAGTCAAGGTCCAATATTCGGCATTCATTCGTGAATATGAAGCACATGTCCGTCGTGCCCAGAGACTCTTTGAGTCTTAGCAAATATTTTCTGCCCCACCACTGCGTTTTCAAGGAAAACAGCACCACGACTAAATTGCGAGTCGTTTTTGATGGGTCTGCCAAAACGTCAAGTGGACATTCTGCTGTACGAGGTTCTCATG